TTATTTTTTAACAACCCCCCTCACTCACCCCTGCATCGGGATATAAATTAACAGGTGTTAGCTGATTGCATCTCCTTGCCTAGTTTTAAAATTAGTCTATAATGGGAATTGTCTATTAAACTAAACGTACCAAATAAGTTTCTGGAATAGGAAGATCACCCTCAAAATTTGTCAGTTTCCGATCACCTCCAAATTCTAACAAGATATGAATAATATTCTCCATACGGCGACCGCTGGCTGTGTGCAACGGTGTATTCCCAGCAAAAGTTTGTGCATTTACATTGGCATCTTTTAAGAGCAGGAATCTGGTTACAATAGGATTGTGAGCTTCAACCGCATGATGTAGAGCTGTTCGTCCGCTTTTACTGTCCTACAAGAGCAGAAATTAAAGTAGAAGGATATTCAAACATGTGTGATTCCAATTCATTGTCAAAATGTACGGTTATTCTTACATGTAGATCCCGTTCATTATATAATAATCATTAACCCACTGAGTGGCAGCACTCTCCCCCTGACGAGTAAAATCGTCTGGCGTTAGACAGTAAAATAACCTGGTGTTAAACAGAGTAAAATAATAAAGTAGGGCGCATTTGGGCGCATTGCCACTTAAAGGGTTAACGCGACTTTCTCCGCCAAAAGTGTTAATTATTTTTGAAGCCGAATGTGAATAAACTATCGGAATATTTATGCCAATACACCCTTGCGGGAAGTACGTCACTTTGGCTACAAAGCCTCATTTTCGTGTATCAGGTAAAGCCCACGTCTCAATTACGAAAACGAGGCTCTACAGCCAAGATGACTTGCTTTCCGGAAACGTGTATTAAAGAAAGCTATAGTTAACGCTTAATGTGAGAAATTTTTAGTATAGTTGACCAAACTATGTTTAAATGTTGACCAAATAAAATGCCTCAACCATTGAAACGACATAGGCAAGGGATTTGTAAATGAATTTCACCAACCGGTGGCATTGAGACGAAGATTGGCTAGAGCTTATCATTTACAAATATTGACTATATACTGTAGCTTCCATTCATTGGGCAACCAAAGTATAATTCTCCACAGTCTACGCAGAGCAATTGTCTATAGCCTGTATACACAACAACATATTTTCAGTGCATCACTTCATAAGCTCTTTATTTTTGAATAACTGTTCGAGTGTCAGAACAGCACCAGATAATCCATCAGGAGTTTGTATTGCCTGCCACAAGAAATGGTATGTAGAAATGGCCAGTGTGACTACAACAACAAATGAAAGGAGCACCAATACGTTGTTATATATATGCATAGTGTTTGAAATTCATTTTTATTCCAGCGTATTAATCAGGTGGAAGAAGCTTCTTCCCTAACTTCATCAGTGTTTAGTTCGTTTATTACCGACCAGGGCAATCCGAAACTTTTGTGAGCACGTGACGAAACATAACTTTTCGGGCTGCTTTTGTTTCCGGCTGCTTTCGATCATCACAGATCGGGTGTGTCTTGAAAAAACTGACCTTCATATTCTTGAATCTTGAACTTCGTCAAATTCTTTAAGTAATACGACATCGAAGATAGGAACAAAGAAAAGTGGTTTTGCACATTATGACTCAAACATGTCTACGTCAATGACAACATTTTATATAATAAACTCAGTTCTGCTTTTCATTGGACGAGAGCCATGGTCATCGTAGAGGACAGACGCACAAATGATGTCATTTCAGAGACGTATATCTTTAAGCCAATCGGCACTCTCAAAAGCATCAGGAACCAATGACGTGCGTTGTCATGTATCGATCATAGATCACGTCAAATGGGTATAAATCTTTCCGTCGTTTCGATACGAGCTAAGCAGTGTTGATTTTTCAATTTTATTATATAAAGCAAATGGATAACATTTTGCTGTTGTCTGTTATAGATACACAGAGGAGGTGGTAACAATATCAGTGACCCACTTACCACACTATGAGGTCATACTGTGTAACTGAAGAGAAAACGGCAAAATGATATCTATTTGTTAAGTAGATATTATAAATCTTTTCATGATAATTTTCTCTCACCTTCAGGTCGACATCAGCACCCATTTCCAACAACTGTTCAATCACTTCACAACTTCCAGATAAAGTTGCAAGATGAATTGGCGCTAAACCTGATAACAGTTTTCTCAAATATTTTTAAAAGATTCATATCACAGTTAACATTGTAGAAGTATATATAGATCCATTGTCAAAAATATCTTTAATTAAACTAATCAATTTGTTTAAAACTAATTTCTTTCTGTGTCAACTGTCATTGGCAGAACAAAAAGTTGTGTAATTAAACTTATACTAAATAAACACCCTCGTCCTTCAAGTCCTTGTTGACCTCACATCTGCACTGCAATTTAGTTCATCCATTTCTCACTCCCTTCCGACTTATTTTTTCTGTTTCTTTGTTTCTTTATTTTTCTTTCTTTCATTTTTCTCTCTCTCTCTCATCCAAAAATATGCTGGGGACTTAGACATTTTCTGGAACCAAATGGTCCCGTGGTCCGATACGTTTCCACCCCTGGATATATATAGGTGAAGAATCTTGGAAAATTGAGGAATATATTGAATTCTATGCTGTTTGGCAAATTATATTTAGTACTCAGGGTTGAGCGGAAAACCTTATGGATATGGACAATTTACCAAAGATATAAAGTAACGTCAACAAGTTACCATATAGGTTTTTACTTTTTTACCTTCAAAATTTTTCAAATCAACATTAATTGATTTTTCACTGTCTTTAGGAGTAATGTTTCTCAGTGCGTGTATATCTTCAACGTCGGCATTCTTACATGCTAAATGTAAAGCAGTTTGACCATTGCGGTCAATGGCGTTTACGTCTGCTTCGTGTAGCATTAAATATTCTACTATACTAGGTTGACATGTCAGTACAGCCAAATGTAGCGGAGTCTGAAAGAAAAAATAATAATATTTTGTTACTCATTCCTGCTTTCCCACTGACAATAGTTATTACAATATTAAAGGTTTGGAAACTGGATGAAAAAAGTACGGTAAAAATATCTCAAGAACGAAGCAAACTAATTAGATGCAGGCAAAGTATCTTATTTGGTCCTTTTGACTTTATTTTCTGTACAATATAATCATAAAAGATGGTGTGAAATGTCGTTCCATAAACCCTTGGAAACTGTATAAAATGACCCCTAAAACGCAGAAAATGGCATTTTCAGAGACTCTAGATTGAATTGGATACCCTACGAGTTTCTAGCTAGCAGTGTTTCGAGCGAGCTATAGCCCTAAAAACAGGACAGCAGGGCTGCAAATAAATATTTTGACTTGACAGGACAGTTGTCCGATCACTTTTAAATTTGGTCGGACATAACTTGAATTTGGTCGGACATCACTAAATTTGGTCGGACATATTTTTAAAATTAAAATACTAAATTGCGATACGATTGCGAGTGCGTAACCCCGAAATTGCTTTGTATCTTATTAATATTCTATGAATTATTACTGTTGGTATAAACACTGGTAAGCTCAAAATAAAGTAGATACTGCGCGTTTCAGGTTTGTGTTACTTTCAGTTAACAAGTCAACGTTTACAAATGTCAAATGAATATACTTTATACATATAGTTAGTACTACAGTATTCATAACTATATGTTTTCATCAACATGTATATACATTTTTCTCAGAATAGACTTTTGTCTTTTCCGAATAAACATATTGATAATTTCAGTTATTTTTAATTATTGTAGCCATGTTAAACAACATAATATCTGTGTCACATTGTCACTAGATATTCATTTAAGTATTATTAGTTTATTTGTTAATCTTATGGCGTACTTGCACATCATTTAATTTCAATAATGGTGTGGACAAAATATCTCAATTGCAAATTTGCAACTCAACTTCATTGTTTCTTACTCAAAATCATCTCCATCTTCAAAAAGAGTGTCACACTCTGAGTCTTGTTCACTTAGAAGTTCTTGAAGAGTTTCTTGTGTATTACTGACACTGGTGTCATCATTCTCTGTATCACTATCAGTGATGGTTGGAGAGCTGGATATGGAGCTGAATTCTGATGTAGGAATAACCTTTTTGGTGCTCCTTCTCTTTTTGTACGATCTCTGTGTCTTCTGATTCGGCCTTCGTACTTTATCTTCATGCCAAGCCAAAACTGCATTGGTGGCATCATATTTTTTCAAAGGAGGACCTTCTGTCGTTATTCTCAATATGCTCAAGAGAGTTGGCTGCGACAAGGAGGCCCTTTTGGATGACTTCACCCGTTTGAGTGTGCTGAAAAACCTTTCAGTTGCAGCATTGCTAACTGGGAGACTAAACAAGAGTCTAACAACCAGTAAAATATTTTGCCAGTTAACAATCCTGGAAGAATGAAAGAGCTTGTACCATGTTGCCCGGTAATGTTGCGTAGCAGGCTTTAAGAACTGCACAGTATAATCCACCATGTCATGCCACTCTTCCAGAAGCTCTGGCTCAGTAACTTTAAAACCTTGTTGCTTTAGAGGCTCTTGAAATTGCTGACAGAACTTAAGTATGGTAGTTTCAACGTTCTCATCCATCTTATAGTTCTGATTCCACAATTCACAATTGAGTAATGTGGCAACTTCAGTGAAGTCATCAGAACCTTCAAGACGACTCTCTATTTCCCCCTTTACCAATTTAACATACATACTGAAATCCTTCTGCAAGCTATTCACTGCGTCGTCAAATCCGGAGAGTTCCACTCCTTGGTAAGTAGCATCTTCTACCTTGCCCAAATAATACTTAACAATTCTTAGGTTTTGTACTTCATTCTTCATCAAACTATCAAGCTGCTTCTTTGCCTTCGACATGGCTTGGGAGGCAGACACAGCATCTACATCTAAATCTTGGAATGCTGCAGATAGTGATGCTGAAGACTGAAGTAGATCAATAAAGAAACATGAATAGACAAACATTTTCCCAGTTTTCCACTTCCTCAAATATCCTCTGAGTTTTGCTTGATCTTTTTGCTTAACAGAGTTATCACAACTTAACGACTCTACGTGTTGCATGTAAATACCAAACTTATCTACAAGTAACTTTAATGCACGCACTTTATGTAGGATCCATCTTGTACCACTAGCTCTTTTAGGCTTTAAAGAACCCTCTACAAATTCCAGACATTGTCTGTACGAATTGTAGAGTTCCTCCAATCCTCTCATCTTCTTTGGGCTTTTCTCGTACAGGTAATACAAACGTAAAAGGCATTCGTCTACCTCTTTGAAGTATGTCCCGTTTAAACCGTCCTTCAAAGCAAGCTCCAATCGGTGGGCAACACACCATACAAAAACAAACCAGGGAAATTCTTTCTTTAGCAAGGCAATCACTCCACCTTTTTCTCCACGGTTAGTGTTGCAACCATCACCTCCTAATCCAATTGGACTTGGTGGTGGCATACCAACATCAGAGTGTCCTATAGAGATTCCAGTGCAGATTTTATTCCACCTACTACCCCCTCAGCGGTGGAACTTGTCAGGTTCTCCACGGAAAGAAATCCCATCTGTACTTTTACCTTTGGCTCTTGGCCATCATTGGCTGAGGCATCATCTAAGTCGGGATCAGGATCAAAGTAGATGGCAAATACAGCTTCCTGTTCAACAACTGCACAGTCGGTTGTTCCATCAAATATGACACTGAAAAATTTTGCATTTGCAATGTCCTTTGAAAGTTGACTTTTCAGTTGGTCTGATTGGTACGAAATAAAATTGGTTGCTGCAGTTCGGTTGCTATAGGAGGAACCATGCAAAACACCATGCCTTTTTTCCAATTCTATTATTTTCTCATATTTCGTCAATGGAAGTTCTTCTTTGACCACAAAATACGAAATGTCGAACTTCCTTTTCATTTCTTCTTGTTGCTGTGGGTCAAGTTTGAAGTTCAGTGTGGGTTGGTTTTTTTCTTTATTGATTGGTGTTGCCGGTTTCCCACACTTTCGCCTAAATAGATTGAGGGCTATCTTGTGTATTTCAGAATTAGCATGATCAATCACGCTGGTTACCTTGAAATTGGTGGAACCATCAATAAATGTTCGGCTAAAGTTATGACGTTTATTGATGGATGTTTCAAACTCAGAACAAACTTTACACTTCAGAGAAGTGCAATACTTTCCCCCCCCCCCCCC